ACGCTTGCAGAAGGGACTGGGCTGTTGAGTTAAGGAACAGCTTTTCCTGAGGAAGCAGAGGTTCACTGCCCATGGATATGTCTGTGCTTACACCTGAGGAGGTTGGTGGTGGTGCAGGATGGCCAACGTGTGTCCATCCGACAGTGAAACACACAGGGATGCTCTGGTAGCAGAGACACAGCTGCCTCCAGGAGCTTTTCAAAGGCCAAACACCTAGGCCGGACTGAATGGAAGAGATCTGGACACTGAAATCCCCATGGCAGCACCCCTCGCATCCCTCCCAGAGGCACCATGGCCCAGCTGGAGCTGAGCTGTCCCTGAGGCATGACCAGAATTGATCATCCCCAAATGTTTCGGGTTCTTTTTCATTCACAAGCTTATATTTACACAGGGACCATTTACATTTCCTGAAGCATATGGAAGCACAGGAAGAGCTGGCCAGCAGAGCCCTGAAGGCACAGTTGCTACCTGAGCACAAGGACCTATTTCTGTGGAGAGGGCAGAACCATGCCAGGAATGGTCTCTGCTGCAGGCTGAGCCCTCCCGCCCGCTGCCTCTTCCCAAGCTCTATTCCTTTACATAAGCAGCGCAGGCTTTTATAGACCTGACTCACAAACCTCCCCACCTCAGTAATATTTTAGAGTAAATTTAGCACTGGTGATACACGCCTGACCCAGAGGGAACTCCATTTATAGCACAGCAGGGAAATATCCACATCTACCCCCTTCGGCACTCGGCCTGGCTACTTGGGTGCCTCAATTCCCCTGTGCTGGAAGGTGGGGGAGCACACGGGGGTGTTCCCACCCGGACACAGGCACCCAAACATCTTTGGTCCCAAATGAAAGGTGAGGACGATTGGCCTCGCTTCCAAGAACCTTGCATCAGGCAGATGGGGATGGGTAAGGAAGGTAAGACCCAAACCGACATCGGGAGGGGTGAAAGCCTTCCTGCTCCCAGCGCTCGGGGAGAAGCACACTGTGCTCCCACACCAAAGCGGCTAGCAGTGGGTTTCCAGCTCTCCATGTAGCTTTGGTTGATGAGCTTCGAGCCACCCCGGGACCCCCTTCGTGGACTTCAAAGCCAGGAGAGGCGTTTTCTGTTAAAGAGATCAAAATGAGACCAAAACTGCATTCCTGTGCTTGAAAAGTCCACCTGGAGCCAAACACGGATGAAGCAAGAGAGGAGATTCTGATGGGGAGACAAAGGTAAAGCAGCACAGGATGCAAGGCCAAAATGGGCACGACTGCAGAAGACCTCTCAGAATCACAGCACAGGCTGACCCCGTTATCTGCTGGCCAGACACTAACTCATTCACAGGGCGCAAAGCGAAGACGACGAGCAAATAACCCACAATGAGAACTGCAAATGCTGCTTCAAAGGCTTTAAAGAGGGACTTTAATTGTGGCCAGACTTCAGCGCTCTCAAAACTGGGTTAGCAAAGCCTCAGGGTCCCATCAGCACAGAGAGCAAAGGAGGGCTGCCACGGCACGGAGGTGAAACGAGGGATGAGCAGCAGCACACACGGTTGTAACGGGCTGAGCCGGCTTGCAGAGGAACATGAAGGCAGGAGGAGGCTCTGAGTGTTTAATGAGATGCTGAAGCCCAAGTGCTGGCAGCACTCTGGTACCTGCAGACCCCGGTTCTGGCATGCAGCAGATGTAAACACCTCCTGGAAACACTGGGGCTTCTCTTCAACCAGTCAGGAACCAAGTCCACGCAGCAGCGCATCTCCCACGTTCAGGCAAGGGGAAAACAAAGGCACTCCTGTCTCTGCCTATGAATTCCTAATGGAGCGCTCAGCTCCCTTTCAGCAGGAAATCTGCTCATGGAATTGCACCAGAACGAAAGGAGCAGAGCGTGGCTCATCCATAATGCAGGAACACCCACTGCGCCCGAGCTTGGCAGGAAGGGCAGCGGGTTTCAGTATGAACAACAGTATTCTGGGAGGCGGATGGTTAAAAATATGTCTCTTACGCCTGTGCCACTATAAATTATTGACTGCACAGGGAGCTGGAAAAAGGGATGCAGCTCCATTAACAATGTAGCTTCTAATCCAAACGAAGATGGAATTTTATGCACCACTTATTGCCAGCGCTGCAACTGGAGAGACCAACTGCACTTCCCAGCACGGCCTTACCATTTCCACAAGTTTTTGGAGTTTCTCTCTCTAGCTTGAAGCATTCAAAGCTTTCCCTTGAGAAAGCACATGGTCATTCCTGAATATTTAGTAGGCACATTAAGGATATGGAAAACTACCTCTGCTTTAAAGCAGCACTGCAGGCACGGCACAACAGCCGAGAGCTACCTCCCTCCATCCCAGCCTCACGCAGGTGGACAGGAATGATGCTGCCAGGCAGATTCTGTTGAGAATCCCAGCCTGGTTTGGGTTGAAGGGACCTTAAAGCTCACCCAGTTCCAACCCCTGTCACAGGCAGGGACCCCTTCCACCAGAGCAGCTTGCTCCAAGCCTGTGTCCAACCTGGCCTTGAACACTGCCAGGGATGGGGCAGTCACAGCTTCTCTGGGCACCCTGTGCCAGCGCCTCAGCACCCTCACAGGGAAGAGCTTCTGCCTAAGAGCTCATCTCAGTCTCCCCTCTGGCAGGTTAAAGCCATTCCCTTTGTCCTGTCCCTACATCCCTTGTCCAAAGCCCCTCGCCATCTTCCTTCCTTTTAGCCACTGGGAGCTGCCCTAAGGTTTCCCTGGAGCCTTCTCTTCCCCAGGCTGAACGAGCCCAGCTCTCTCAGCCTGGCTCCATAGGAAGTAAATAAGAGAGCACCAACAGCAACCCCACCAGATACAGACGGGTCCTTCAGGCATGATGCTGCCTGGTCTGAACACCCAGGGATGGAGGGGGTTCAGGCTGCAGAGGTGCTACAAAACTACAGGACACAACAGAACAGAGAGCTTTTACAATTGCTCGTACCATGCTCCAAGTACCTACTTTCTTTTGGCGTTTGTGTTGTGATTGGAGGAGCAGGGGAAAAAGAAGCTATTAAACTACCAAATCTCTTCAAATCAACATCAGTCAACGCAGCAGTTTTGGGGTGCTGTTGGGAATTGAATGTTTTCTGCTAAGGATACATAGAAAATTTGGTAAAGCTTACCTCTACAGAGCACCATCCTTGTTCCATCTGAAAGTCTTGACTGCATTCAGGCCTTTCCAATGCAGATGCTTGAAATGGAAGCAGAGGAGTCCAGGTCTGCACATACAGGCAGGAGGAAACACATCCCATCACACCAAGGATTTGGGGCCAGGAAACGCTCCATCACATCTGATATTTGGTACCCAAACAGAGAAACACACTATTCCTTTTGTCCAGTGTCAACCCTAAGCTGGAGAAATGAATATTGTCTGCATCTTCCCTGAGGTTTAGGTAAGCAAAGACTGTCAGGGGGAAAGAACCAAACACCTTGCTTAGAATTCTAATTTATTATTAAATTACATATCAAAGCTTTTTTTTTAATACACAGAGAATGCACAATAGGTGAGAACAAAAATAATTACAATAGTTACAATAAAATAAGTTTCAAGAAGCTGTATGGAAAGCAAAATATCAGAAAGTGCAATCAGTTACAGGGGTCTGGACTGGGATACTTTGTGAGAAAGGGGTTTGGTTTCTGTCTTGGGTGTTGACTCAAACTGCTGCCTTCACTCAGTAGGAGACAGACCAACAGCCACTTGGGCATTCCCAACTGAGAGCATCACCACCGGTTTCACATACCCAGCTGACAGAAGAGACACAGGGCACCAAGAGGACTTGTCACCTAGGATATGGCTCAGTTTTGGCTCGGAATGTCTTTCACTGGAGCCTCCTGTGCTGCACGGTGCTCCACAGGCCCACTGCTCTGAAGGATTTCACGATCTGGCACTGCTCTAAGGGGGTCTGGAATTACTTCCTTCTTCAGAGCAATACAGCTTTTACCTCTCCTCCTGTGTCAAATGAAAGCTTGGGGGAGAAAAAAAATGTAAAAGTAGGAAAAGGCTCTGCATTAAGTGATCTTGGGACACAAGCTGCTGTGGTCAGGCGGCTAAAAGAGCTGCGACTACACACACTGCACAGTCAGAGGTGGTGGACCAGGCTCCAGTCCCTGTGCAGCAGCTTTGGGGGGAGCTTCAGGAATGCAGCTCCGCAGGGGACAAGCTCTGGACAAGCTCTCTGAAGCATTCACATCACCCAGAACTCTAGTGCTGCTCTTTTGCTTGCAACATCCAGGGAGGAACTGACTCTTTCTTCTCACAACAACCTTAAGAGCGCTGAAAGGAAGGACTTCTAAAACTACAAATGAGAAATGCAAGTTGATTATTCCATGTAACGAATCCAGCAGGAATTTATACCACACCTCTATATGCAAAAGCTCCTGGAATCACTATCATGCCTTCCCAGGAAGGACATGCTCTTGTATTACCAGCAGCCCCCACTGCTGGGTCCCAAAGCCTCCCCCTTTGCTCAGGCTTGCTCCCACGCAGGGCTGGGGGGTAAGTTATGGCTGAGATTTAGAGTGCGTGTGGGAAATGTGCCCTGTAGAAATACTCTGGATTTCCTCACGTCATTTCAATGCCTTAGCAGTAATTTTCTTAGCACAATTCTGTTTGGTTGAGTTACAGAACTGCAGCTTTGCCAGGAATTGCACAAATGAGACTTGAACCGCGTTTTTTCCCCTTACAGCAAGAGGAACCACACAGAAGGAAAAGCTCAGAGAACATAGTTAGCAACAGGAGACGTACAAGCCTGTATTTTGAGATTTGAGATGAAAAACTACAATCCACTGTTTTCATTTTACAGCCCATTGCTCCAGCTTACAGCTTCATGTATTAGAGATGTCCAGGAGAATTAGTGAGTCTTTCCCCTCTGCTCTATGTGAGCACAGCAGAGAGCAAACCTGCCTGCTCACATTGCTAGGGCACTACCAGGAGATGATAAAGGGGGAACTACAAGGTTAATTAAATGTATTATTCACCACAAATAAAAACCATGGAGGGGCTGCCAACACCGAAACCATTTCCAGTAAAGCTTTATCAGAGAGAATGCAGTATATTTTGGTTATTTTATACTAAAATATATCAGTTCCTCCATTACATTTTCATAACATGAAAAATCAGTTGTTTACATATTTATTATAATCTACATTTTCTCCATAGCAGCTTTTTCACACAGTAAGATTAAATATATGCACCAAATCATCAATGAAGTCCAGCAAAAAGGCTGTTATCAGAGTAAATAAATGAATTTCTTTACGGTACTGCAGATCTTATATTGCCAACTATAGAGCAACCACATCCCACAAATCCTAAACAGAGGCACGACTGCTGATCAGGGTCCCTCAGGATGGTGAAGGAATCAAAGAGAAAGCACTGGGAGAAGAGGTTTGATCTCCCAGTGCAGAGATTCATTAATAAACCTCCTTTATCCATGCAGGTTTTTCATAAAGCCCTTTCATGAACACTTCAAACCAGGAGCATTCCCAAATCAACCGGATCATCACCCTTTATGTAAAATACAGCCCCACAGGTTTACATGTAGCAGTCCAAATGCTTTCCAACCCCAACGAGGACCGATTAGAAAGCCTTTGTGGACTTTTTAGCACAAAGTATTAGTCTGCAAATAAACCTTCCAATGCACACAAACAGTTTAGGTGCAACAGTGTGGGTTTTTCACACTACATAGGCAGGAGCCTTTACTCCCTCCAAAAGAAACTGCACAGACACTATAAAAAGCAGTAGAAAATTGTGTCTGTCCCACCAGACTCTGTTCCAGAAGAGAACTCGGAGACTATTTGACATTTGTGGGTAATGATATACATGAAATCTGTTAGGAGCACTGTAAATTGATTGTGAAAAGAGTTAAAAGTTCTTGGAAAGCTATTTCAGTGCCTCGGTTTGAATTTCTTGAGTTATGATATGACAGATGGAAAAGAGCTGTTGAAAGAACAGGAAAATCTGTAATTCGTGAATGTGCAATATCAAAGCCATTCCTGACGTCAGCTCTGTTCAGGGATGGCAACACAACAGGATTCATGGTGCATGTCTGGAGGGAAAAAGGCTTTTTCTCTCCCCAGATACTGGTAAATAATACTTGTTTTACTGTTCATACATTCAGATTTTTACTATGAGGTGTTATGTCCCTAAGTTTCACACGCAGACCCATCTGCCTCAGGTAGAACCATCATAATTCTCATTTCCAATTGGCATTTAGGTTATATCCTACTTACAGTGTAAAAATAATAATGCTATTAGAATAACTTTATCTAAATTACAATATAGACTTTTCAAACTGCTTATCGTGTCTTTATAAAGACCTTTATGATGCCAGCCAAAATCAAAGTATTTACACCCAAAAGACTATTTTTAGGTGGAACTCATGTTTGGTCACTTCTTAGATGACTGAACACTACAGTAAACAGCTGCTAGGACACTGTGCTCCCTTTTTACAAAGGGGGACTCATTAGTCCCTTTAAAGCCACAAGAAACCTTACAACTCTTCCTCAGAGGGTAATTTATTCATATCCTGTGCAAAAAGTGAACTAAAGAACCCTTTCTGTTTGTTTCTTTACTTTGAGGAATTTGTGTGAAGCACAGTTTTCACAGCACAAATGATGCAGACATAACTATCTCAACCATGAGTTAAAAAAAGGATTACAGAACATGTATTTAGTAGTAAAGCAACCTGATGGCTTAAAGCTGCAATATTCTTCTCACAGGGCAAAAGTGTTCAGTATTGTGCTTGGCCTATGGGGGAAAACAGGTTTCCTGCTGAGTTTCCACCCGAGGCAAGCATAATGATGATCTTCTACTTACAAGCCAACAACAGACCTCCCCAGCACTGCTGAGCACAGAAGTTTTTCCACCTGTTCTGGTAAGCGTCCCGTATTTACTTACCTTGCAGTGAAAAGGGGAATGAAAGACAAACAAATCCCACCAAATTTAAACCAAAGGAAGATGTATGGCAGGGAAGGAGGAACACCGCAGCTTCAACCCAAACCCAGTGTCACAGTCCACCATCATAAGCTCTAGACATCATGCTGATGCTCCCAGCCGTGATGAGCAGGCTGTTGGAAGTCTGTCGCTTCCCCCACTCACTTTTCATTGACTGAGGGGGGGAAAGGGTTGGTGGTGATGAGTTTAGCAAAGTCCATCGAGGAACATCCATCAATGGAAAGCATACAGCAGCAGTAGGATGGTACAGATGCCAATAATGCCACCCAAGATGAGGGAATCCCGTCGTTTCCGAAGGTTGATCCTTTGAATCAGGCTGTTCACTGCTGGAAACCGATCTTTAAGGAGTCTGAGTCAAGGGCATATCAGAAAACACTTGACTTCTTAACTAACAAGCCCCAAAGTCTGCATGTAGAAACCCCAACAGTACAGCACACAGAAATGCAGAACTTCTCCAAAGCTGAAAAAGGCAGACACAGTAATAAATCTCCACTAATAATCAAAGAAATGGGCGAACAGAACAGCTTAGAGCTCACATGAACACAGAATTCATCACCTAAATTACCAGCATTTGATGTAATTTAATCTCCAGTAGGTGAGGCTTAGTTACTTTCAATAACTGTGTTTAAATAAGTATGAAAAAAATATGGGGCAGTTACATAAAACATCTGTGGAATGTATTTAATGGAATTCTGCTACTGGCGAAGGGAACAACCAAAGGCATTTGACTGAGAAAATCATGCACATTGCGTGACTATGCACTGCTCAAGGATAGCACATAAGGATGAACTCCTACTGTAAAATCATAAAGATGTAAAACTGTCTTTTAATGTACAAAATAAAACTGCCAACAAGATAATAAATTTCAGAGGTTCATGTCTTTGGAACCAAGAATCTTTAAGGCCAAAGATTATTGAACCATTTTTGTTCTTGCCAGTTGCTAAGAACTGTAATGAAACTTATGGGTTACCAAGATCCATCTCTTCAGGATGTAATCTGTCTAATCAAATGACGTTAATGTTATTCCTTCTTGTCATAAGGGCCCAAAGAACAAGTGGGAAAAGGACAAACATTTATGACTTGACAATCTGGCACATTCTTTAGCCATGAGCACAGAATATGAAGAGAAACCAAGGAGCCAAAATCTTAACATCTCCAAGACTGTGACAAGGCAAGAGGTCATGAATACTCAGCTGTAAACCATAACAAGAAGCAATGTATGCCAAGCTTCAGCTCTGGACAGTCTTAAAAGCAAAAAGCAAGAAGTGAAATCACTTTTACAAAACCACACAACAGGGAAGGCCATAAAATGCTGCTGCAAATCTCCACCTGAAAATCAAGCTACACTGATTTATATGCAGTATTCAAATTTGAGTAAAACCAACTTACTCACCACATCCCTCTTTAAGACGCTTCAGTCATCATCCAGCCACTGACATCGCAAAGCATTTTGATTCCCAAATGACAAGAGTGAAAAATTGTACTATACCTCTTCTTCTGCACTGGCAGCACAGTATTTTAGGGAAGGATACTAGCCAAGGTATTCATCTTGCTTTGTATTGACTTCAACATCCCTCTCTGCGAAGTCATATTTTCTTTAGTTGCCATGGCAATGCTGGAGAAAGAAGAAGAGTGGATCAAGTTGTTGGTGCTAAGAATAATCTAGAGCTAAAACAAGAAGAAAGCAAGAAGGCAAGGCTTCTTTAGAGAACAATGAATGAGGTGAAGCCATATGAATGAAACCACATTTTCCCCATTAATCTCTACCTTTTACACTACGATTTCTCTTTTTAGATAACCTATTAACAACTGCAAACACTGACATTTCTTGAAACAGGCTGGGGTTTGACATATCTCTGCCAGCTCAAAAAACAGCACTACATTACAACCAAACCTAAAAGTACTCTTCTGGCATAAGCTTTACATTCAGAAGTTTGTTTAATCACAGAAGCCCCATACTTACTCTGTCATATGAAAGTTCTTGTCTGCCATCAGGGGATGATGGCTACAGAAGTATTAAGCAAATAAAAGCTGACTCACAGTTACAAATCAATTTGCAAAGTGAACGTGCTGGTTGAGAGGAGATATTAAGTGCAGTTTGAGACCTGACACAGCTCATATAGCTTCACACAGAAGGTTTCTGGACAACCAAGCTGGGCCATACAGTCATAAGCAAACAGAATGTTGGGATCTACTTGCTTTGACTCCAGAGTAATACTGCCCCCTGACTCCAGGGAAGCGGTGAAGGTTGGATACTCCTGTGTTAACATCTCTTCACAGCAAGCCCAACCTGTTTTCCATAAGCTGGAGCTGAGGGAGCTGGTGTATAATGAAATCATATCAAACGCTGCTTCCAGCAAAGCACAGATGAGAGAGATTTCTGGTCCTAATTAAGAATATTATCCATGCATATGTAAGTTTTATACTCCATTTCTTTACTAATACGTGGTCTAGCTGCATGTACTGGTAGGAAAAGTCACACAGACAAATTGTACTTGTTCGCTCACCAGGCACAGAACGGGTGCTCCCAATGCTTTTATAGCAAAGATTGGTTGCTAAAACTTACTTCAAGTTTCTCTGGGAGCACAACACTTGCAATGAGCAGCTCTGGATCTGGTGTTCCAGTGCCTTCTCTGCTAGGACACTGCAGCCAGTTTCACGGGAACAGCAGGCCAAATCCAGCAGAGCCAAGCCTAACAACTGCCCTTCAAGTCTTACAGCAAAAGGTCACGATCACAGTTCACAAACATCTTCACCAAGAAAACAGCCTGGATCAATGATCCCTAAAGCGTTTCTGGAGCAATGAGCTCCTCTGGGCTCTCTTCCATTATATCTGCCTACTCCATCTCAAGTAGCCCTCGATAGAGGATCTTTAGCCTTCCCATAACGTGCCAGGCAAACTTTCAGGGGGAAAAAAAAGAAAGACGAGGAAAAGGACCACCACCTCTTCAGGTGGAAGCTGCCCTTTCCAACCAGCTTTGTCCATAAAAACTAAGGGCTCACCAAGCCAAAGACTAAGTGTTATAATAGGTATGATTTTGGTTTCAGCAGTAGAAGAATACCTTGGCAAGCAAGACAAGCTCATCACATAAACCTATGTGAGAGAGAGGGGCCAGCAGGGCCAGCTGATGTCTCTGGTAGCTTTCAGGTCACAAAAAATACTCTTCCAAGAGCTCTATATAGAGAATTCTTTTAAATAGAACAACATGCATTGACAGGGCAGATCAATATATTATTTTAAGCTTATTTTAGCATTCTGGTAAATTTGGATATGCATTTAGGAAATTGAAGATTCATCAGTCATAAAGAGACTACGAACAGTTTGATAACATGTAGGCAAAGCCCTGGCATTTTCTATAAGATTTAACATTTTAATACAATGTTGATGTATTAGCTTTAAAAAAATAAACATAAAAAGGGAAGTTTTAGGGCAGAAGTAGGAAAAACCTTCAAGCTTTTTTTATTTACAGCTGGCTACTTAGTACTTTTTTCTTGTATGTTTTTGAAGCGCCACATAAGCACAAAGGGAAAATGAAACTGATGGTTAACTGGAAGTGACAGGACTTGCAGTCACCTCCTTGATGTTTATAAAGGGGTTGCCAGCATGTGCAAAAACAACAGAAGAAAGTCTATAAAGCTTCTTCTCTTAGACTGTGTGTGCTTGTTCCTGTGGATACAATAACTCATCTACTGTAGCTGATTTTCACTACATGGGACAGCCTTTTCAGGACTAAAATTAGTAGAAATGAAAGTGAAAATTAGATTAGAGGAGAAAAGAAGGATCAAACCATTGCCTACCTATGAGTATACAAAGAAAAGCAGCTAAGAGAAGGTGCTAACAGATATCATGAACAGAGAATAAACAGCTGTATATCAGCATAGAAAAAGCAGTTACCATCAAAGGCTGAAAAAGGCTACAAGATTAGAATAGCAAGTACATCAAATCATATCACCTGTGAGAAGATACAGCATTTGATAGATTATATACAACTCAGCATACAGCTATTTTAGTCCTCTAAAAAGCATCAAACTCACAAACCCATTACATTTGCTATTGAGCACTCGGGATACTTCACTAGGAACCAAGCTGGAAAACAAAACACTTTCCTAGCTGCACACAGGAAAGCTCGCTCAGTAACCCAGAGCTTACCTTATACCACCACACTGACTTGATACTTGTCCAGATGAAGTTTTAATACAGCATTGCCCAAAGCACTCCTGAATTAAGCCACATGGTTTTTGAAGATGCATCCAATGACTCATTAAGGTATCCATTAATTTACAGAAGTGAAAATACAGGATGAGTGCCAGGATATAAAGTGTTCCTGAGACACCTCCAAAATGCCTTTAGAAGTTGTTATTACAGATTATCACAGAACACAAGGTTCCTGCTTTAACATCGGAGAAGTGAGGCTGCCTACTTCATATAAAGAGGCAGTAACTGTTTAAGTTTACATATTACAGGATTGGAACCCTCTTCACTTCTTTTATCCATCACTTAGAAAAAAGGGCTAAGTTTTACTGAAGGGCTCAGAGGATAAAAGCCTGCAGTGATTATAATTTTTAGTATGATACGGTCTAGTAATGAAATGTAATTGTGATCTCCATGAACAAGAGCTTAACTGGATTCTAGCTACCACGAACAAGTCAAAACTGAAGCAAAAAGCACTGTTCTTCATGTATAATTAGATTATTTAAAATATGAGCTGGTTTGCCTAAGCCTTTATATCTGTAAATGAAACTATTAAGCTCAACAGCTATCAGAAAACACCCAGCTTCTGGGGAGTAGTCCTCCGACTGGTCTTGTACAGCCTTAAGTACTGCAGCTTCCTCATATCCTTCATTAGCCAGTTTTGGGTTCATTCCCATCCCTAACATATGCTCATTGACTTACTGTTGCCATTTGTTCACTGACAAATGCATTTTAAAGAAAATTAATCATATTCTTCCCATTCACAACATTGGCCCCGTTTACTTACTCAGCACCATGATCTCCCCACATTAATATGTTTTTCTCACTCTAGGAAACTTCTACACAGTGCTAAGGATAAAAGATTAAATGATTTTCACTGGAATCAAGATGACCCCGATTTAACGTTTCAGTTGGAAGCCAGCAGGAACTGTTCTCAGTGCTGCACTGGCCTCAACTACTAGAGTTGGGTGCAAACCAAGTTTCTAAAACCAGATGGCATCCTGCTCTCTATATTTAACACTAAACCACGGCTGAAGTACAATATTAAAGACTGCTGCATTACCGGAGAGATCTCCTCTAGGTAAGCCCCAGGTCACAGCCACAAAGAGCCCACTCATCTCCACCGCACATCAGCAGGAGCATCTCAAACTCCTGTGCTTGCAGCTAGATTTCCTCAGAATTCCACTTATATTTCAAGTTTATCTTGGAATGGTCAGTAGTGCTGGGGGTATGTGAGCAACTTCCAAAGTAAAACAACTGCTATTTGTGTTTAGTTTGCAGTTTTGGCTGGCATGGAAAAGTACAGAGTGCTAAATGCTTCCAGCCATTACCACAGTCAAACCAGTCTAACGCGCAGAGATACACCTTTAATGCTCCTTGACTTGGAAGCAAAGTGTTTTTACCTAGACAAATGTCCGAGCTGTTAGGCTGAGGAAGCTGGGGCTGTTCAGCCTGGAGAAAAGAAGGCTGCGTGGAGACCTCATAGCAGCCTTCCAGTATCTGAAGGGGGCCTATAGGGATGGTGGGGATGGACTCTTCATTAGGGACTGTAGTGACAGGACAAGGGGTGACGGGTTCAAACTGAAACAGGGGAAGTTTAGATTGGATATAAGGAGGAAATTCTTTCCTGTTAGGGTGGTGAGGCACTGGAATAGGTTGCCCAGGGAGGTTGTGAATGCTCCATCCCTGGCAGTGTTCAAGGCCAGGCTGGACGAAGTCTTGGGTGAGGTGGTTTAGTGTAAGGTGTCCCTGCCCATGGCAGGGGGGTTGGAACTTTATGATCTTAATGTCCTTTCCAATCTTAACTATTCTATGATGCTATGATTTACACCCCATGTAGCAGCCACACACATACCGGACATTACACCAACTGGAACGTACCCAGAAGTCAGCTCTTTGCTGCATTCATTGAGTCAGCTCAGCCAAATCCACACTGATGAACTAGAACAAAGCTCTAAAGGAACAAGGCCTGTTTTTTAAAATCAAATAATTTATGTATTACTGGAACTTGGGCTTCATTTTGTACTCCATGAATCATACTTGCTCATTTGAATTCATGACAACATTTATGATTAAGGGAATGGACTCTGTGACTCTGCATAGAAATGGAAGCTCTGGTTTTAAATTGCTACAAATTCTGATTATATCACTTCTTTGTGTATACATACTTGTATCTACAAATACCAGTGTATACAGGTGTATATAACCACACAATCTTTCAAATTACTTTAAAGACTGTTGTGTCTTTTGATGAAGCTCAAGATGAAAACAAAGGGAATATTTCCTCAGACACTGTGGCAAGGCTCTTCTGAAAATAGCCAGCACTCAAAACCTAACTCTTGCCTTTCCATTCCGTAAAGTCAAGGATCAGTGCAAGTGATTTTTCTCCTTTTATTAAATCCTAGTTGTAACCTAAAGAAATACCCCAAACAAATAAGGAGGTTTTTTAATTAAGTCTATGGGATTAGTCTGGGAGCCGTGCAATCTGTAATATCCAAACACTGACACATCAGCCTGAATTAGGCCTCAGAAACAGTATTACAATAAAACCTTCAGAACTTGTCACAGGGTGCATGCAAAACGATACAAAACCCTCAAACTGGGCCAGCCTAAAAATGTAAATTGTTGGAAAAAAAGAAATAAATTGTTTGCTATTTTGGAAAAGTGATAATGTTTGAAAATGAAACCCCCAAAACACAAAGCATATTAAACAAAATCTATGCTTCTATCTATATCTGGCCAAGAGAAGCGAGCACTGTTCCAGAAGAACTGCAGTACAAAGTATCACATCCCACTCGTTTCTGGAAAGAAATCTGCTGCAGTAAGAACCCAAATCACATAATCCATTTAAAAATGGATTAACAGTTCAGCACTATCAAAACATCTGGAAGGACAGCCCTACTCATCACTGGAGTTACTGAATCACCTCAGCTTAGGTGCCCGTATATTATCTTGCACGTATGCTTGCTCCCGTGGTGGAACCACACAGAGGAAGAGTCAATTTTGGCATCTTTTCAGTCCTCTACAGAGAGTTAGAGGAAGGGTTTCACCATCAGTGCTAACTGCAGTGGCTGGCAGTGGGGTCACTGGTATGCAGCTTGGCAAAAGAAGCCTCTGGCCACAGGAAAATGCTTTCCAGGCTTTGGGATCGCTGCTTAATAATAACCCCTAAAAAAATACAAAATGATTTCTTGACTTCCTGAATTGCACCCAAATAATGAGTAATGAAGCAGATGTAAGCCTTGAAGACAGAGCAGTATTAGTAGCCAGAACAAGCTAATTACATCTCACTTCACCCAAGGAATCTGCATTCAAACAGCTTCCCCCGCACAATTCCCTCTTTTATTTGGTTTACAATAGATAAAGCAATTGATGGTCCCAAGTTGGGTAAATTTCTATCTGCAAATTCACTTCAAATGCAGCAGGGTTTACCATCAGTTAATATCGTACCTGAATACTTGCAATCATTGGGGATGACAAGAAAAAGAGTAAAACAAAAGAATTCACCTGGTTTCAATAGCTGGAATTGAATTAAGACGTTATAAATGAAATTACTTCTCCTGCTCAATGGAGTCACTAAATGACATCTTTGCCTACAAAAAGGTATGTAGAATTTTTGGCAACTACAACAAGAATTTAATTTACTTTAGATAATAAATACTGCAACAAGGGGGGCTGAAATCCAGCCTCTTAAACATTAGGGTTCCTTTATTAACAGAAGGAATGCTTTCAGTAAACAGCACCAAGGAGCTCTGACCCAAGCGATGCGAGTTGGGATTATTACTACTTGAGAAGCAGCCACTTGAAGTCAACCACAGGACTGCAGCTCATACAAATGAAACTCAAAGCAGTTTGAAACCAGCCTGGATACCTGATGTCACCACAGAGCTTCTGAGTAGACTCGAAACTGATGGAAGAACCAAGGTAGGCATTCAGGCAAGTGCCCTGCTTCACGCTCCAGTCTGCCACAGCTACATTCCCTTGCACAGGTAAATCAACACAGAGGTTCCCTCATCACACACAGTCTCAGCTTCTCTGATGACATTTAATCAACAAGCTAAGTGCTCAAATTAGAAAATGCAAGTAATTTTGCAGGATATTAAGCTTAATAAATCACCATATGCTGTTTAATGCTCTAGTTAGTAGAGTGGTAGCACGTAAGAGATTCAACAAATGTTGAGCATTTTTACAAGAAGGAGATGTAGGGCTACAAGTATGGCAAAAAGGAAGAGGAATTTTGATCAGGAAAAGCCTAGAACAAAGTAAAACAAATAGTGACAACAACTGTGCTAAATTTGGCAAATACCTTTATGAGGCTGAGGTGAGATTACACCCACATCGTTCTCACCATTTCTGGTTCATCACAGCACATTAATGTAGCTTAACACATTCTTCCACCATGCTAATTAGACTGAGCCTACTGTGTGTACTTAAGCTAGCCAGCCCTTAATGGACACAGAGCCTCGCTGCACTTCTAATTACTCTCCTTGATCACTTATGCCAGTACATGCATTATCTGAAAGCTTCTCTTGTTTTCTTTCTTCCTTTATTTTTTGAAAAGCAATAATCTAAAATTTAGACTCCTTAACTTGGGCACTCTGAAATACTGGTCTGCAAAATCCCAGAGTTCAGCAGAACTTGGGAAGGGCACAGATGAGACAACTCATTTGTGATACTGTGGTCTAAAATTCCTAGATCAGTTAGAGAAGGTATCACTTAAGTATTCAAACCACGTAAAAAAAACCACCCAAAGATAACTATACAACAGAAAAAACCTCTTAAGCCCTTGTGGTAAGAGCCCTTATCTGTATCAGCTGCACAGCAGCACGCTGAATACATTGATGGATTACAGAAAATCCCTTTGTTGAAGAGTGTCTATGAGAAGAAACATCTTGACTACAGGAATAGCCCTGAACAGCTCAACCTGACATTCATTCTGCTCAGTCAGTCTCTGTGTTTTTGTAGGGGCTATTCACCCTTGAATAGAAATGTAGATTTTCTAAACTAAGATAAATAAAATATTTGAGCAACATAATTATTTCAAAATTGAACAATAATAAAACCCCCAAACAAAAATAATCCCACCACGTCACTGTACTATTACCCAGGAGCTGCGAACAATACAGGTATTGTACAAATGAAATGACTGATAGCTTTAGACACAATTCAGTGCAAATGCCAATTGTGCATAAAATAATGAAAATGACTCCGTTCACTCCTACCTTATTGTTTCTTCTATCAGTCGATCTGAGCTGAAAGCCAAAGGAAAAAAGAAATAAGGTTAAAAAAAGGAACAAACATTAAGTATTATTGTAGATTATTAAATCAAGGGTCACCATAACACAAACCTTAACAGATTCACCCTTACAATGGCTTATTTCACTGTTTGCTACTACACAGATTTGGTATAGCTAATAGGAGCCTTTGGGGAAGACAGGCAGTGTTCCTCAGGAGCAGCATTCCTACCTGTACGCAAGAGCAGATGCTCCATGATTCATGGCTAATGAACGTTAACTTAACCTGATGTGCACCAGATGCCCAGGAGAGTTTGGAAATGAGTACTGGGGAAGAAAGAATCTAATTTTATTGCTTTTTAATCCTGGCCGTTCCTGCTTACCCCTTCAAAAACCCTAATTACCAACAGAAGCTGAGACTTGGTTCCAAGTAATAGCATCTCAGAACACTGCTGCAGAACTGGTTTACCAAACACTGGTTTATGGTGGTTAGAGGCAAGTTCTTTCTATAGTAATAGCAGTTGGATGAGAAGAAAGTGAAGCTTATGGGAAACAGAATACACACCATCTGTAAGAAAAAGACCCTGATAACATGCATCCCCCTTCCCTCTCACTGCCTCACATCAATTGAGTTCTATGAGCACTGCTGGGAAAAGGACAGCCTAAAATACAGCACCAGAGAGAACATGTCACTTAAACACGGATGTGTGAGATCGGAATGGCAAACGAGATCCTCAGAAGACTGGAGCAATTCCTCTTTTTCTCTGCTCAAGTTCTTATAGACAGGTTTATAATCACAGTTTAAAACATATCTTGTTACAGCAATCAATATCGCAAATGTAACACTGACACAGAATAGGTTGAGTGCATCCCTGCTTCCCATACTGTGGAAACAACGATACATCCCTACAATTGCTCAGTTTACCACAGACTTAGGCAAACCTGTGTAGAATAACTGAATAAAAAAAAAAAAAAGAGTTTGCAGTTTAAGAAGGAAATCAATTTGACAAAAAGGAGTTCTGTGTTGCACTGCATATTGCTTCCAGTATGAAAGCAGAATTTACTGCTGCCAAACTAAAAGGATTAAAAGACACTGAAAGAGTATGACAGTCTGCATCGTCCATCCTCCCTGTTCCAAGTGTTCTGCCACCTCAGGAAGGGAAGGAAAGGGAAGGTACCAACAGCCTCTGACTCAGCTGGAGCTGCCCGATTTGGAACTTTTCTTCTACCCACAGAAATTCTGGAGATCCCTCCACACCTCCAGCTGCAGGCACAGTGAAGGAGCACGTTGTGCTGTGCGTGCATGAGTGTGTAAGCTGTATGGGGGGGGGGGGGGGGGGGGGGGGGGAGATGCTAACAGCATGTCCTTATTTGTCTGTGAAAAGCAGCGAAAACAAAAGTTGCTATTTCAGTCTAGTCCAGGGCTTGAAATATGGAGACAGCATACAGAGCACTAAAAATATTTTGCCTGATTTTAAGTTGAGAGGAACTCAACTGGGGCAGCAAATGCTGAACGCACTGGAACTGGAACACTCTGGGCTCCCCAAACAAAGCCACGCTCCAAAGATTCACATCAGTCGCAAGTACATCAGTTGAATCAAATAAAAGCATTTGCATTCACAGTGTGGTATTTACCACTGGCAGAGAGAAGTAAAACACCATGGTTCTGTACACAAAATAGTAGAAGGAGATTCAAGTCTCACAGCATCCGATGATGTCCCAAGGCAGCAGCAAAGCGATGCATTAAAATTTCCACAATCGCTGATTCTCAAAGATACAAAATTCAACTGAGCATTTGCCTTTCAAACATAGGCAGCCTCTAACAGACAAGTGTATTATGTGGGAAGTGCATAAAAATAAACTGCAAAAGCATCAGAAAACAGCCTGAAAAGCAAGAACAGTGCACAAGAAGGCACCCTTTTTAAAATGAAAAACAAAAAGGTATCAAGAGCCTTGCTGGAAATGAGTTACTAAAATTCTGTGGAACAGAACATTGCTAGAACAGTGCTATTAAAAAACAACCTGCCATCACCAGCATCACCAGCTCCTTGTCCATTTAACTGATGAAATCATAGTACGTTCATGTTGATGAGCTGAAGATGACAGGGATGTTGAACACATTCGGAGACCTCAAGTGAACTAGGATGTTCTCCAACGTTTTCAGAGCACAAAAAATTAGGCTTACCAGTTTGCAGCAGACACTCACTGCTTTTTATGTTAGCGAAAGCTGTAGTTAGGCAGTTTTATTAGAGCCATAACCACAAAAAGTAGTTAAAAGCTTCAGATTCAACTGTATTATACCACATTATTTTTTATATAGGCATGTATGGATGCACATATATAAAAATAAACCGTGGAAACGTGGCTACCTTTAAAATGATGACAGGTAGAATAAAAATGTACAAACGCAGTAATAAACAGTTCTCAACAGCAACAAAAGCAGACAGATGCAAATGCCAACACAAGGCATTGAACGGGAACCTGAAGTCACAAGATCAATGCTTCCCGAGTGACGTGGCGGTCACGCCAACTGTTTCAAAGGATGAGATGCATATGGATTCTCTTCAGAATGACTGATGTGCAGTAAGGGCAGACTGAACTAAGTTCTGAAGTTGAATGCTTCCTGTCCAAGTTCAGTTTAAGCAGATGCTTGAGGCTTTTCTAAAGGCACTCACGCAGAACCTCAAAGTCCTTCCAACTTCTTGGCAAATACAGCCTGTAGCTTTCACTTAGAGCAACACCCAGACAGAAGCAGTTTGTTTCATCATTGTGTATTTCATAACCATAGAAATTAACAGTCAGATTGAAGGGAGATGAGGAACACAAAGTACAACAGAGAGCCAAGGGAAGATCGCAGATCGCTGACTAATAATAACCTGTTTTACACAAATAGAAGATGCTCTCACAGCTATGAATAATGAACATTTCAAACTGTTTGACAGAATAAAAAATATCACTGAAAGAGGTAATTTTGCTTAACTCACATTCAAAACACTACAAAAAGAGGCTCTTTAAAAACAAATAAAATCTCTTGACTTTGTTGTTCTGCTTTCCAAGCAAAGACAACCAATCCAGTGGACATCACCTTATGCACATCCAAGTAAGCAAGCGATGGTTTTGGGCAGTATTAATCTGATCTGCCATCTGTTCCGATCCATTATGCACTTTCACCTGTCGAGACAGATGGCACTTTGACAAAGCCATTGCAAAATACTATCTGAAAAGAATGCTGAAGGATGCTGAGGCAATCACCTCCTGTAATAAATGACACAAGTCCACAGTCGCAGTCATGCGTGTTGTCATCAGGCCTCTGTGCAACTGCTCTTTTCAGAAGATTGTGTAGTTTGTCATTGAAATATGCAGACAGGTTAATTAATCCAAAGGAGAAATGCAGTGAAATAGGCCTCTAGGATAGAAAATGAGCCTGTCCCTCACATCAAGCTTTTACAACTAAAGGAGGCATTTTCTGATTTGTTTTTCTTAAGCAATTTTCTATGCCAGTAATTAGAATTCAGTCATACATATGATTACTCAGGTAAGGACTGTGCTTCTCCCACATCCATAGATTTTGCTGCTGACTTAACTGGTTAGATACCAGTACAAGCACCTGTCAGAGAAATAAAGTAGAGCAGTAACACTCATCTGCACACAACTCATTTCTCAATGCACTTTAAACCCTTCAGATGAAATTAGGGGCAACATTATCATAAAGAATAATTTTAAAGGATATGGGAAAACCCCTGTAGAATAAACTCATCTTAGCACTCGATAACTCTTCTCTTACTTTCATTAGGAATAATTACAGAAATCATAATTTTACATTGTTCTAACTGCAAAATCAATCACTAGCACCAGGGAACATGGAGCTTCCAGCAGTGCAAATATTGCAAAACATATTTGATACTCTAATGCAAATAAAGAGATTATGATGAAGCAAATCAGACTTCTACAGTCAGTTATTTCCACCATAGTAGTAATTCCTAACCCACAAGGGAAAGAAACACTGTGCAGACACACCAAAAACCCACACACCAACTCATTTTTTTCCGCTTGCCATTAATATATCTCATCATCTAAAAAATCTGAAGATTTAAAAACTGAAGCAGAAGAACGTAAAGCATTCTGTGGTAACAAACAAGATACTCCAGATTTTGTAAGACTTGTCTTAGCTCGATTCAATTTAGTGTTGAAGAGTGAATTCCACTGGAGCTGCTTAGCTACTCTGAACAGTCTTCTACAGCTGCTAATGAGGACAAGAATTGGTATAGAAGCCTATTACTGACTGGGAACCAGCACAAGAGCATGGTGAGCCAAACATGCCATGGGACTACAGCACTCAAAACCAAAGACATGAGGCAAGATGGGTATTTTCAGGGATGAACAGTTTGCTACAGAAATCATTCTGAAAGCAGAGAAAGGTTCAAATCCTGACAAAAACTGATGTCTTTTGCGGGTTCCCTTTGTACGTTAATCAAAGCATAAACCTAAATGCTAAGGAGGTGTAATGTTGGTTGCAGTAGGTAAGGTGAAAAAGGAGCCTACAACAATCAAACATACCAAACCTACAACAAACCAAACATACCATACAAACATAAACCTTAAGTCAATGTATAGATTTGCCCCAAAGGAACAATACATTAACAACAACATCACACCTACAAACTCTCAACACATAAATAAACTTATTTCTGCACATCACTGTGCTGGGGAGTCTGACACTCAGGAACCACTTTTAATAAGAATGAGGAATAGCTGCAAAATTGGAAACACAACAAAAAAGCACAATGGCACAACATCCCATGGCTTTTAATCAATGCAAATAATTTGTTACATCTAGAGTGAAAGGCACTGGAACACAACCCATTGCTCTAGGCAGGAGTTAACTAACATTATTTGGTGTTGAATTTCTTTCCAGATGGTTCATGTGTACCTTGTATATGAGGAAAGAACACATCCAAGAGACATGCTTTTCACTGTAGGGAAGAATCTGCCAAAAGATTTCCAGGAAAATGACCTGG